CCACCACCACCACCACCATCACCATCACCACCACCACCACCACCATCACCACCACCACCACCATCACCACCACCATCACCATCACCACCACTGTGGGAAGTAGAAAAGTTCCTCTGTGAAGTTCCCTTTCTTGTTTAAGAAAAATTCATACATGTTAGAAATGATAGTTTGTTTTAAACACCCTCTTCCAAGGCCTTCTTGCTGTTTTGCTAGAAGCCCTATCCTATGCAGCTGCTGGACAAGCTGACAGGCACGTCATACCTTGTACTCTAGCCAAGAGGTCTGTGCTGGACGTGCCCACAGGCCTGTCCCCGCTCGCAGCCTGTGCCCTTCCTTATTTGGACTTCCTTCTTTTTTGCTCTCCGTTGCTTTTACCTGTTTAGAAACATTTCAAGTTATTGGCCAATCAGGTTTTAGTTTAGGTGGTGAGGTCTGGCTGCAGCCAACGGAGATCAGACACCGCAGTGAGGACGCCCCCAAATGCGTAAGAAATAAATATGTCTGCTTTCCTTTGTTTGTTGTACTCTCGTAGCAAGATTGCTAGTGGAAGTACCCTTCCTGCAGGAAGTAAGAAGAATTGCTTTGCTGAGAGATCCTTTGTCTCAGTGCTAATTTTTCTTTGCGGCACCAAAAAGAAAAATTTTATACATAACAACCACCAACACCATGACCATCATCACCAGCATCACCATAGTTTGCTTACGAGGCAAGAGAGGGTTTTGGCTCAGTGTAAACAGGCTTTGGGACTCCAAGCTCACCCCTAGAAGTGGCAAGCCAAGACGAGGAGGCCGGAGTAGCCCTAGACTGCGCCTCTATCACCGGGAATGAGGCCTGTTCAGAGGAAATTGTCCACGTTTGTTTTGTGATGCTACAACGGAATACCACAGACTGGATGATTTAAAAAGAACGGAAATGTATTGGCTCACACTTCAGAAGGCTGGCAAATCTAGGACTGGGGGCTGGTGTCTGGTGAGGGCCTTCGTGCTGCATCCCCCCATTGGAGAAGTCAGAGGAGAGGGCAGCAGAGAGAAAGCAGGAGAAGGCTGAACTCCTCTTTGGTAAGGAACTCACTCCCAAGATCACCGCACTGACCCATTCACTGCGCCAATCACCTCTCACCAGGCCACACCTCCCGGTGCCGTCGCAATGGGGATCACGTTCCAGCACAGGCTTTTAGGGGGACACATCCAAACCACTGCAGGCGTTAATATGTCTCAGGTCATTTAGAGATGTAAATAACGAGGGTTACGATGACAATGTTTATTAGCACTCTTGGGGTTTTTCCATTTCCCTAATCTGATGCAGCCAGGCATGAGTAATTTGCCACTAGGAGCTGGGTCAGCCAGGTCCAGGAAGTGGCCCCTGCCTCACTCAGCCAAGTGTAAAACCTGCCATCCGGCCAGGGCCAAGATCCAGGCACAGAAAACCTCCCAGCCCCTTGACCCTGCTATGAGATCCACAATCGCCCCGGAGACCAGGAACTCCCCAGGGCCCCATCCGGCCCTTCCTTGCTCTGTTCCGGCCACTCAGGGGCCTCTGTGCCTGCCCCCAGGGCCTGTGTTCTTGCTGCCCCCTCCTAGGGCATACTTTGGCCAGCCATCTGCTGAGACTGGGCTCTTTGCCTAAATGCCATTCCCTGAGAGAGGCCTGTGCTGCCCCCCACCCCCCTCCCCAGGTACGTCTGTGAGATTTCCCTGTATGTCTCATCACTACTTAAAGTTAGCTTGTTATTTGTGTGTTCATCTTTCTGTCTGATCCATCTTCCCCGAGTGCCCTGGGAGAGCCACATTCCGGGAGCCCAGGACCCAGCCCCCTGCAGGCTCCAGGCACTTTGTGGAGCGAATGGATCCCTGTGGTGACCTGGCCCTGAGCCTGCCGGGAGCAGCCCTTTCTGAGTGTTGTGGCATCGATGCTCCCAACAGCCCTATGACCTTGATGTTCTTATTAACTTCATTTTAAAGATGAAAATCCCGATGCTCAGAGAGATTGAGACGCCTTGCCCAAGGTCACACAGCAGGTATCTCTCAAAGCCAGCAATCCCAAGCCTGTGCTCACAGCAGGTGCACGCACTGCCCCAGCCTGTACCACACAAAGCAGAGGCCTCGTGCAGGTGGTTTGTAAAAGTCATCTGTAAAGTAAGGTGTATACACACATACACACACGTGTCTATATATATGCAAACAGGGTCTTATATAAAGTAAGGTATACATGTACACACACACACAGGGTTTTACAATTAAGGTGTAAGGCTGGGTGCAGTGCCTCCCGCCTGTAATCCCAGCACTTTGGGAGGCTGATGCAGGAGGATCACCTGAGGCCAGAAGCTCGAGACCAGTCTAGCCAACATGGTGAAACCCCATCTCCACTAAAAATACAAAAATTAGCTGGACATGGTGGTGGGTTCCTGTAATCCCAGCTACTTGGGAGAGTGAGGCAGGAGAATCGCTTGAACCCGGGAGGCGGGTGTTGCGGAGAGCCGAGGTCGCCCCACTGCACTCCAGTGCAGTAAGACTCCATCCCTAAATAAGTCAATAAATAAATGTGTAAGTAAAGTGTGACAGAGCAACAGGGTTTTTGCTTTGCTGTGCGGACACTCTAGTTTCTCCTTCCGACCCCAGGGAAAGGGCCTATGGTTGCTTCCAGTTTGGGGCGCTTCCGAATAAACTCTCTGCACGCATTTGTGTTCAGGTTTTGTGTGGCTGCGAGGTCTTGGTACTCGTGGGGCAGGTTTGCCGGACCCTACAGCAGGTGTGTGCTCTTCTTGGGAAGAAGCCGCCAAGCTTCCGCAGACAGCACCTCTGCGCCCCACCAGCAGTGTGGGGGGAGCCCTGTCTTCCGGTGTGTTTTTAAAAACACGTAACATAAAATTCCTACTGTAACGGGATCCCTGGGGTGTCTCTTTGCCAGCTAGAAGTCTCTGTGGCTGGTGGCACCTTTGCCTGAGTTTTGCTGGGACCTGCTGGGCTTGTTCCACCCACTCAGCCCGTGCTGCCGGCCTGGATCCCACGCCTGCCAAGGGTGAGCCAGCCAGGGAGCGGCAAGGGGTGTGAGCAAGTGTGGGATCCGGTCATTGCTCACAGCCAGGCGTGCCAGCTGCAGTGGGGTGGGCAGCTCCAGGCACCAGCATGGGCACCAGCTCCCTGCGAGGCTGCAGCTGGACCAGGCGGGCCATAAGCAGCTTCCATGGCTGACACTGGGGAACGCGGTAGCGCCCGGAAGCTTGGAGCCGCCGAGGCCTGCAAGGCCCTAAAGAGGGTGTCACAGCCCTGGCTCCGGCTGCTCCTAGGTCTGGTCTCCCCGAAAGGCCACAGCTGTCCACCCCTTCTCTCTCCTCTCCTCGTCACCCTCAACGTGGCAAGCAAGGGGCGTGTTTAGCCCTGATTGTGTTACAGGTCTTTCAGCCCAACACTCGGTGAGTCACCGGTTCTGGTCCTGCAAGCAGGAAGAGTGAGGTCCGCGGACAACTGGAGGCTGAGCAGGACGAAGAGGACATTTCCTGAGTGCTGGAACAGCTCAGGGGACCCGCCGCGGCAGCTCCTCTCTGCAGCTGGTCGTCCCATCATCCTCTCTTCTGGTCCGGCTGAGTCTGGGATGTTTTATGGGCCCCAGAGGGGAGGAAGTGCGTGTGACTGGCCATGGACAGGCCTGGAGAAGGCCCCGTAAGTTCCCACTCTGGTCCGTGGGACCAGCAGCCGGGCCCCCAGGCTTCAGGCCCTCCCTGGCTTGAAGGTGGGGCTTCACCAGGGACCCACCCCTTTCCACCAGGAGCCTGTCTGCTGCTGTCCACGGCACCCAGGCTGATTGTGCCAAGGGGCACCTGCTGGTCAGCACCGAGCTGCCCCAGCACCCCCTCAGCCTCCCTCCTGTGCTCATTGGTGCCCGAAGTCCAGAGGGGGCCAAGGTGGCAGGGGCTGGCATGTGAGCGCTGCCCCAGATGTGTGCACACCGGCTGGGTGGCAACGGTGCCCAGGCTCAGCCTCAACTCTGCTGCATGATCAGGGCGGGTGCTGACAGCGGGAGCAGCCACTTCTGAGCCTGTGGGGATGGGGGGCCTTCCCGGGCCCCCGAGAGTGCAGAGATGCCTGCGTCCACAGCCGTGACTTGGGCGGCTGTAGCCATCCCAGGAAGGCGGAGCTCCTGCCTGCTCCTTGCCCCGGGCTCCCAGAGCGCAGAGGTGGCTGGGTGGTAGCCGCAGTTGCGCTGTGAGCTCCTGCTGGCTCTGTGGAGCGTGGCACCGGCCTGGGGCCCAGCTCTGCCTCAGGACCCCTCTATGCCCACCCCTCCATGCCTAACCATGCTGCTTTCCTGCCAGCGAGCGACTTGGCCTGGCCCCATTGCGGTGGTTCCCGGGTGCAGTGGGCTCTGGGGGCTCCCAGGGGTGGGGACTGCCTGCTTCCTCTCCGTGTCTTCCCTGCAGTGGCGCTGCGTGAAGTGCAGGTGGCACAGTGGCCTCTGCCAGCTTCGAACAAATGAACCTTGGGCCGGCCCCACAAGTCCTGCTGTGCCTTCGGCCAAGTGCTCGCGGGCTCTGAGACACAGCGGGGAGTGAGGCTGAGGCCCTGCTGGAGGCCCTGGGCCTGGGAATGTGGCCTGCCATGCCCGCCTCGCGAGGTTGGGGTGGTGCAGTCAGCTGCCTCAGGGACATGGGTTGCAGGAGTCCCGCCACTGCCATGGCCGCTCCCGCAGCCACTCCTGCCACCACGCCAGCACGTTCCCGCTCCAGCCTGCTCCAGACGCTGCAGCCATCCCTGCCTTCGTGGCGGTTAAGTGCACAGTTCGGTGGCCTCAAGCACACTCACACGTGGGCTCATCACCACCACCCACTTCCGGAACACTCCGTCCTGCACACTCGAAGCTCTGCTCGGTAAACACGGCTGCCCCAGCCCCGGTAATCCCCGTCCTACCGTCGGCGGGGAACACAACTAGGGGCATCCTCTGAGTAGACTCATGCTGCCATACTTGTCCCTGCGTGACTGGCTGCGTTCACTGAGCGTTATGTCCCCAGGTCTACCCAGGTTGTGGCAGGCGTCAGAACTTCCTTTGGTTTTAAGATTGAGTGACAGCCCCCTGTGTGGACGGACCGGGTTTTAGGGATCCATGGCTCCGTCTAGAGACACCGTGGTGTGTCCACCTTTGGTGACTGTGAATAATGCTGCCACGAGCAGGGGTGGGCGAACAGCCCCTCATGTCCTCGCCTTCCATTTTGGGAGGTATGCACCCAGAAGTGGAACTGGATTTTGAATTTTTTGAGAAACAGCCCTACCGCTTTCCACAGTGGCTACAGCGTCGTGCGTTCCCACGGTGTGCAGGTGCACTTTTAGGAAATCCCT